ATTCAGTCAAGATTAATATTTTTTCTTTTCTCACTATTTTGATACCAAGTATCACATCAACATCTCCAAAGTCCTTTATATTAAAGTTAGATGCAATAAACTTTTTAGTTTCCTCCATAATTTTTAGATTAGAGCCAAAGATAAGCATGTCATCTACATATAGACAAATAATGACACAAATAATTCATTTTCTTACTACACACATTTATCAACCGCATTTCTCTTAAACCATTTGACATCAACACATTGTCAAATTTCTTATGTTATTGTTTAGATACTTGTTTTAGTCTATAAAGAGATTTAATCAATTTACAAACTTTATTCTCATGATCTGGCATTACAAACCCTTCTGATTGTTCCATATATTTCTTCATCTAAATCATCATTAGGAAAGTAGTTTTTACATCTATTTGATGTATGACTAGATGATTAAAAGAGGCTATCACTAGAAGCAATCTAATAGCAGTAATTTTTGCTACTAGTGCATGTGTTAAAATAATCAATGCTTTCTTTTTGTTTACAAACTTTAGTAATTAATCTTGCTTTATATTTATTAATAGAACCATCAGAATTCATTTTTCTTTTAAAAATCCATTTACAACCAATAGGTTTAGAACTTGGTGGAAGATCTTCTAACTTCCAAGTTTTATTAGCTATTATGGAATCCATTTCATTATTAATAGTTTCTCTCCAGAAAATTACATCTTGAGATGTCAAAGCTTCATTTAAAGATGTAGGATCTTCCTCCACATTTGAGACTATAGGCAGTGAACTCAAAATATTATTTTGATTAGCCTCAATAAGATAAATATAAAAGTAAGGTCCAAAGTTGTAAGATGGATCACCTCTAATTCTTTTACGTCTTCTTGGTTCTATTATTTCATCATCATTATTTTCTACATGTTCTTCATCAACATTATGATTATTTTCATTTTGTGTGCTACTTGATTCATTCACTTCACTTTTACAAGTGAGATTTTCAAAAAATTCAGCACCTCTATATTCCAAAATTGTGTTAGAATTTAGATCCAAAAATCTATAAGCTTTACTATTATGAGAATATCCCACAAAAACGCATTTAGATATTTTAGGCCCCAATTTATTTCTTTTATGATCTGGAAGTCTAACATATGTAAGACAACCCAATACTTCGAAAATTTTCGAAGAAGGTTTTTTATCAAACCAAAGCTCATAAGGAGTCTTATCACACTTTTTATATGGAGTTCCATGCGAAATAAAACATGCAGATAATAAAGCTTCACCCCACAAGTTCAAAGGCAAAGAAGAGAAGAATTCACCATATCAACTAAAGTTCTATTTTTTTCTTTTCGCTAGTCCATTTTGTTGCTGGGATATGGAGCAGTTACTTGATGAATAATGTCATTATTTTCACAAAATTCGTTAAAGTTATTTGATAAATATTATCTTCCTCTGTCACTTTTAATAATTTTGATTTTCTTACCAAGTTGATTTTTAACTTCCGTTTTGAAAACTTTAAATTTTTCAAAACCCTCATCTTTATGTTTAAGCAAATAAACATAAGAAAATAAAGAAAAATCATCAATAAAGGCAATAAAATATCTTTTACTACCTCTAATTAGAATATTATGTAGATCACATACATCACTATGTATAAGTCCTAACAATTCACTAATGCTTTCAATTGAAGGAAATGGTTTTCTAGTCATTTTTGCTTGTATACATACTTCACATTTTTTTAGTTAATTCATCATAATTAGAAATTAATCTTAATTTAACCAAAGATTTAATATAAACTTAATTAACATGTCCTAATCTACCATGCCATAAATTACAAGAAGTAACAATATACGCAGAAGACTTTTTCATTTCATTAACAAAATCAAATTTTAATCATCCCATCATAAGAGTATCATTTGCCACCAAATACGTCATTTTGTTGGCATTATACTTTTGGTCCTTACAATTTTCATTATGGACCTTTAGAAAATAAAGGCTTCTTGTTATATGGAGGACTTGATTTTTGCTCAACAAAGTTTGCCTTGGGGTGAAAATTAATATATTCATCTTTCTTTTTCCTAAGGATATTTTCTTTTTCCAATTTAAATTGATCTTTGAAGTTGAATCAAAGCAATATCAACTTTCTTGTGTTTCATCTTCTTTTGGTACTCTCTCCAATAAAGGGGTAACTTATGAATCATTGAGCCAACTAGGAAATTCCATCCAAAAAAATTCCACAATCTAATAGAATTGACCTGTATTAAAGTTTCGAAAAATAGAAATAAGAATTCTTTTGTTACCAGACTTTTGCGTTGCCATTTCTTGACTTCAACCTGTTGAAGCATTCTCGTCGAGGAAAGTCATGATTCATGACCTTCAAATAAGTCATGGCAGTCTCCTTTCTTTCAGCCATGAAATATAGCCTTAAATTGTTGGATTTGGTTGGGTGAAATGCGAGCAAAAAATGATACAATTTACAAAAATAGGATATCAAACTCTACTTGTTTTCGAGCATGTAGGAGTGTTATCTCACGATGATAGTTGCCCCCCTTCGATTGAGTATTTGTTATGCATAAAAAGGGTAATTCGTCATCGAGATACACGAAAACAGAGAGGTCTTAAAACAATGTTCCTAAGCTCTATGCACTCGAGCTTGAAACCCACACAATAGACATCAAAGTCTTGTTGTATTATATAGAGAGAGAGAGAGCCCGCTGGTTAGCTTGCAGGAACTGCAAAGAAAATATGCATTAAGAGGCTCAAAAGTGTGCTGTAAAAAACTCACACGTATGGGTAGGAAGTCTCTTGTTATAGAGCACCAAGAGGCTGCCCATTTGGTGTTGTGGAAATTACATGCACACGCATCAACAGCAATGACCGTTGGATCCCCCTACGCGTCGGGCTCATAAAAAGATAGGGCGCCACGAGCCCGACCCGCACACGTGCTGGGACGAGAGGCGCCTCATGCACGTGAAGTGAACACGTGCTCAGGCTAGCGATGCCTAATGTGCGCAAAGTGCAAAGTGCGTCATCAAGCGCCTTTGCGCCCCGCACATGCACAGAGAGGTCGTAAAACAATGTTCCTAAGCTGTATGCACTCGCGCTTGGAACCCACACAATAGACATCAAAGTCTTGTTGTATTAAAGAGAGAAACAAAAAATCAAGTAGAAAGAGAGAGAGTTAGTCCACTGATTTGCTTGCTGGAATTACAGAGAAAATGTGCATTAAGAGGCTCAAAAGTGTGCTGTAAAAACTCAAGTGTATGGGTAAGAGGGCTCTAGTTATAGATCACCAAGAGGCTGCCCATTTAATGTTGTGGTAGTTACATACACACACATTAACGGCTAGATAACCGTTGGATCCCCCTACACACAGGGCTCACAAAAAGATAACGAGCCACGAGCCCGACCCGAACTTGGCGATGGGCGCCTCATGTGCGAAGTGAACACGTGCTAAGGCAAGGGGCGCCTCATGTGCGCAAAGTGCGTAATGCGCCATCAAGTGCCCTTGCACCCCGCACACGCATGTGCACGTGAGCGTCACACGCTTCGCGTGCTCCGCACATGTGTATTCTCTCTTTTGTACTTATGCTCTTAAATATGACTCAACAAACTCTGTCCTCTTCAATATGGAACTCAAAACCCACATCTTTCTAACAAAAAAATAAAACCAAAGGCAGAGCAATTTAGAACAAAAAAATAAAACCAAAGGTAGAGCAATTTAGAAAAAAATAAACTATAGTGTTATTTTGAAATACATATAAGTATTTTTCAAACCAAAATTACTAACAAAATGAAATGAGATGCACTAAAATCTCTTGGGTTATGTGGCCTGCCTTTATTTCAACGGCCCATAAATGAAAGGATTTCCAAGTACTTTCATTATTTTATTTTAATTTTTTTTTGCCAACAGGGATTTGAGACGCTACTCTGATAGTTGTATTATCATGAGAAATTGGATTACCATTTGGACCACAGTGTTTTAAAACCTGGATTGTTCGCCTGCTGGACCAATCTGCACAGCTGATCTGGTGCGGACTTATTCTCCGGCTTCTATTCCACCAGTGTTATTGATTGAGAACATTCAATGTGTTTATGTGTGGTTGTGCGAGAGACTTTCCAAATCTTATCAAATATAATGGTAAATTTCTTCTTGAGCCAAAAAGCTCTTGGATACATGAGCCGACTCTTGCATGAATACTAAACCTCGGTAAGGGTTACTTCTTCCGCACTTTAGCAGTTTCCAAAATCTTAAATTTGTCCAAATGAGAAAAGAATTTGATCAGAACCTATTTTAAATTTCAAAAAAACTTTAATCAAAACCTATTTTTCAGTGATCACTAAGGAGACATCACTTACATTACACCCCTTTAAAGAAAAGTAGCAAGGAGACATGAACCCACAATCTCATGGAAGTTAATTACTCAATCCAAAATTCAAGCATCTGAACAGGTTAGCATTTTGTACAACATTTTTATCAGCATAGAATTCACTATTAAGGGAAATTTAGCTAAATACACCTAAAATTCAAACTGTCTAACATTTCATCCTAGGTGTCATTTGATAAATTATCTTTTTGATGTGCCATTTGATGGGCTGCATGAGATTTAATCAAAATAATGACGGCTAATTTAAAAATAAATCAAAATATATGGATAAGATGTTAAATAGTTCAAATCTTATGTGTTGTTTGATCAATTTCCCTATAAAGTATTATATAGTTTTATCAATAATCAAATGATGGTCATGTTACTGTCCATCACAACAAATGATTTAAACCAGAAAACAACCAATTAAATCGTTCCAGACACCACCCAACAATACATTGCTCTGGAAAGTAGCCAATGGTATTTGCATTACAAGCCTCTTGACTGATATTTTATATTCTTAAAAGTGAACAGATACTTCAATATCAATTCGCCGAGCATGCTAAACCCAACTTAACATGTGTAACAAAACGCACATTCCGAAAATTTAAACAATCCCCTTGTTTTCCTAAAATATGCATCCACTAAAATTACTTCATTATAATAAACTCATGCTTCAGCTTAAATGTCACCAATATTCCATTTTAAATCAAGGCAAGAGCATGTGAACTCATAAGGAGAACAGTAAAACTTAAAATAATTTCACAGTTGGCGAGAGTATGTGAGCTCACAAGGAGAACAGTATAACTTAAAATAATTTCACAAACTGTGAAGACAAAAGATGCCTCTGATTTCGAGAGCAGAATTCATTATAATTATCAGCAAAACCAGAAACAAATAATGCCAGGATTGCTGTATTCTATTCATCACAGTATGCTGACCTCTGGGAAGCTACACTTGGTTTTCTCTATACCCCTGCATTACCCTTTGCCTGAAAATTTCAGCTTCTATTCAGAGGCTCGATATATCCTCAATTATCCCCTTTCCATCTTTCGCATCGAAGAAGAAGAAGTTCTTCAATGGATTTCCCTTTCCTGATAGGGCTTTGATCACTTCCTATAAAATTCAACAAGCGGCGAAGGGTAAAGATCTATATTTCAATCAATGTTCAAAAACTCGGCCGCCCCGCCACCGAGGCGCTTGGGTACCTCTAAGGCAGGCTTCCTAGGCATCTTGTGTCTAGGCTCCTGCCCGCCTCAAGGCGGGAGCCTAGACCGTGCCTTGCTGCACCCTGGCCGAGGGTGTAAATAGGCCATCGGTCAAGGGCCCCCCCTAGAAGGGGGAAAAAGTTTGGGGGGGGCGGGGAAGGATTCTAGCCCCCCCAAAGCCCTCAGAGTGTTTCAAGAGTGAAAAACTCACCAAAATCCAAGCTTTTTAGATTTATATCAAGATTAAAAAAACAAAATCAACATTTTCAATTTCTTGCAAATTCGAAAGATATATTTCCCGATACTTCTAGAGCTCGCAATGGTTGCATAAGAGGACTTTTGGCTGCCAAAGATCATCGGTTTTTTAAAAAGTTAATGCATTGCAATATTTGAATTAGGGTTTGGTTTTTTTATTTGTATAAAGTGTTAATGATTTGTTCTTTTATTTTTTACTTTTCTTTTGTGATTTTTTTCCGTGTTTGTAGCCGAAATATTTCCTGAATATTAACCGGTTTAGGCCTATGTCAAATTCATTTTGAAAATCTTAGTGCATTACGATATTTGAATTAGGGCTGGTATTTTTTTCATGTAAAGTGTTATGATTTGATATTCTGTTATTTTTTGTTTTTCTTTTGTGATATTTTTACATGTTTGTAGTTGAAATATTCTGTGAATATTTACCAGTTTGGGCCTATACTTTGTGAATAGTTCGAACTAAATAAATATTTTGTGAATATTTAGATTGGAAAACTAAATCACAAGGATATTATGTTACGTGCAGTTAACAATTTCAACAGAAAAAAAAAAGGATATTATGTTATGCGACATTATGTGATTTCTTTTTTAGATTAAATTATGTCATTTTTGTTAGATTGGAAAACCACATACTATGTGAGTTTTTATATTGTGATGAATGATGATGTTGTGATTATTTATTTTCTTATTTTCAGGGATTTTGGGGCTAAACTGCCCCTACGAATTCCCTAGGGGGCTAAACCCCTCCCCTAAGAACACCATTGGGGCCTGAACCCATTCAGGGTGGCCAGGCCCGCCATTGCTCCTGGACCGAGGCCTCCGAGTTTTTGAACATTGATTTCAATAAAAGAATCAATCATTAAATTAATAAAAAAAACAAGTAAAGAAAGAGATTTAAAAAATAATCAACATTAGTGAAATTAGAATAAGAAATAAAAAGAACCAAGCAGTAGCAGTAAAATGAGAGCAATATGAAATTGGGTCTAGCATGAAAGACACAATAATTACCGAGAAGAACCATTCTCAGATCATGACTTTTAGTGAAATATAGTCAAGGAAGCTCTGATTTCTAGAAATACCTGCCCAAGAATTCCACCGACAATGGCGCAGACTGGTGGATGCTCTCTAGTACCCTCAAGTAATCTCTTTAATAGCTCATCTGGGATACGGGATTCATTGATTGACTGTCCATATTTACCATTAAAAAGGAGATGAGTAAGCATGTTGATGAAGAAAATCTACTTAAAACAATCAAAACTTACATTTGCTTTACACAATTCGCCTCGCAACTGTTGAACAGATGAAATATCTGCGGCAGTGGTTTCACCAGGAATTCGGCCCTCGGCCGCTTCAAACCTTTCTATCACTGTGCAAAGGCGAAAGTTGAGTTAAAAAAGGAGGGGGGGTGGGGGGTGGGTGGGGTGGAGGTGGGGAGGGGAGGGGAGGGGAAGTCAGATGGTCCACCAAGCTAAAGAAAGAGGATACATATGTTCGCACATTATTGTGAGTGCGTGCGTGCTACTACAAACCTCTCATAGCAAAGTACAGTTTAGTGACATTCTTAGGAAGTCTATTCCAAGGCACAGCCACTGCTTCCTGGGAAGTGAAATGACACTATTGTAAGTAGCTGTAAAGATGTAAACATAAACCTCAAACCACATCCTGGAAATATCAAATATTGATCATTAAATACCTAAAACTTTTCAAACAATTGCATCCGAATGGTCTAGAAAGATAAAACCAAGCTGAAAGTAGGCTTAAACAGAGAATATTCTAATGCATCAGGACAACAGAAATAGGCAATCAATGAACCCCTCCACTAGGAATGTAATGCCGTCAAAGAGCAGTACAGGAATGTGATAGTAAGATATCAGATAACAAAATTACTAACTAGTTAAACAATGTGCAGTATATATCACAATACCTCAAGACTTGGATAATGGAACTGGCATTCGACATTATCATCATTCTTTTTCTGCCAAATTAATGCATGTGTCACTGTCTGAGCCATTCATCTTAGACACATAGAAGAGGAAAAAAAAACCATCTAAATCAATTAATTTGAGTTGCTTTTAGACAGAGCACAATCCATACTAGCTCTTAATACTAACTTCTATCTGTTGCAATATATGATGGTCATCCAACAACTGTGAAAATTCAATAGGAACAAAAAAAGAATTAAAAAAAAAAAATGGAGCAAAAAAGAAAGTGTGCAAGAGAACATGCTATTGACACTCTTCCGCACTATGCTCCTGGCGCCAGCTCATGCACAGAGGATCGGCTAACCATTTGAGCATACGGAGTAACTTTTGCACCTACATACGGATTCCTCTTTTTTTCTTGATAACCTAGATTTAGATTCGCTTAACAATTGAGCCAATCCTTTCAGACAAAATCAATGCTAACAAGAACAGGGCAATAGAAAGAAACCTGATTGTAGACATAGTTTTGCAAGTCAACAAATATTTCACCGCACGAATCCCGACAGTCAACTGTAAAAAATGCGATCTTCTTGGATCTCTTTCTACAGATTCCATCAATGGTTTTCTGTGGCCAACAAAATGACAAAAAAAGAAAAACCACAACGAGTCAGGCAACAGTTGGAAAGAAGAAGCACTTATCATACAACCTGAAGCATAAGATGAACCCATAAGAGCCGAAATAGGAGTTGGTCCCTCCATGGCATCAGGTAACCATACATGAAGGGGGAATTGTGCGGATTTAAATAATAGGGTTCACCTAATGTATTAACAAGAATCAGCAAGCATTTCTCAGTTGCCCAATCCAGCCGGGCATACTCCATCTATAACAGGGTACTTAGTCATAACCAAGTATTTCTAGTCTTTCTTTAAGCTCTCCTTCCTTTTCAATACATAATAAGGCATGATCTCTCTGACTCTCTTACAAACACAAAATCCAATGGCTCTCTACAACAGAGAATTTTCACCACTATGGACCTTCCATAGCCTCCACAAGATAGCTGAAGGCGAAAAGCTCAGACCAAGGCTCTCACGGGATAAATGAACCAGCCAATAACATCCACAATAGTCGATGTCAACAGAATCACAACAGAAGGTGGATCAGTTTGTTAGGCCCTATTGTGCTTAAAAAATCAGCCAAAAACTTTTTCAATTAGAAATATGGAAATGAGATAACAAATACAAAGACAGGAACAAGGAAAGAAAAACAAAAAGTTCAAGAAAAGATCAAGATAATATAAATCATTAAAAAAAATGTGAAGCTGAACCACCACAATAACAAGGCCAAAAATTAGATGGTACCAATGAACGAAAACTCAGCTGCCTTGCCACCAAGGTGGCCATTTCCTCAAACTGCCTAGGTATGGACTAGGTGGTATATTAAAGGTGAATCTAGGCGCCCGCCAAGGCGGCATAAAAGGCGGGCGCCTAGGCACCAGCTGGACCAATTGAGGCTGAAGGCAGAAAATGCCCCTTGCCGCCAAGGCGGCCATTTCCTCAAACCGCCTAGGAATGGACCAGGCTGTATACTAAAAGCGGGTGCATCTAGGCACCCTCCTAGGCGGTATAAAAAGCGACCGCCTAGGCACTGCCTCGACCAATTGAGGGTGAGGGCGGAAAATGCCCCTCAGCCATTGGGTAAATTAGTCGTTCCCCCCCTAAAAAGGGGGGAAAAGGGTTTTGGAGGCCATTCTTGTCCCCAAAAACGCTTTTTAGTAGAGTTTAGAGTGAGAAAAACCTTGAAAAAAACAAGATTTGAAGATTTGAAGATTTGTAGAGAGATCGAAATGTTTTTCAATCTCCTCGAATGCCCATAAAATTAAAGGTACATCCCCGATCTTTTTTAGGCTCATAGTGGTTGTAAAAGAGGATTTGAAATCCAAAACTTTTCGGTTTGGGGCGAAAACAAATCCATTTTCAATATTTTTTATTAGGTTATGTTTTTTTTTATTTTTACTATGTCTTGTGATGTTATTCTTTGCTTTTTGTATTTTCTTTTTGATACTTTATGATATATATTTGATATGTTATCAACAATTTGGATTATTATTCACCAAAAAAAACTATTTGGACAATTTTGCCATTTTTGATAATTAGTTTGTTTGGGTCTTTGAGAAAGCAATTCAATGGAAAAAGTACATTGCCCCCAAACCAAATGAAAATTGTTTTTTTTTTTTTTATACATGAGTTTACTTGTCTAATTCATAAACCTTAACTTTTATCCCCATAATTTTTTTTATGAGTTAGTTTAACAATTGTTTATTAAATAATTGCATGAGTAATATGCTTTTTCATTTTTAGATGTCATATCATTGCAATTTTGATGTGTAGATTTTACCTAGGTTTATTATTTTGCCTTGATCATGCTTGCTTTACTTTGTCCTTGGATTATTAAGACCTCAAGATATTAAAGGGTCAATGTAACAATTATTTCTACTTCATTTCCTATTTGTATTTTTTTTAGATGACCATTTTTTAATATTTGTTGGATGCCTAATTTGAAATTTCAAATATTTAAACTAGTAGTTGTAAATTAATCTTGCTTTTGTGTATGTATTTACAATTTACACTTTTTGTAAATGTTTTCAAGTTTGACTTTGTTGTTTTTGTGTAATTTTCAGGCTTAGGTGATAAATTGATACTTGATAGCTAAAGGTTGTAGGTGAAATGTATTCCTCGAGTTCAAGCAAACAAAGTGATCCGGTTTGTAAATACAGACATTGTCCCAACCCTAATAACAAGAATAAAGTAGCTTGCAAGTTTTGCAAAAAGGAGTATAAAGTTGGCAATAATAAATTGAAAAAGCATTTGGACGGCATAGGAGGGGAAGTAGCACCATATACTCAAACCCCTGCAAAGGTCAAGAAAGAGATGTTGGATCATTTGGAAGGGGTCCAAAAGAAAAAAGAACAGGTCAAGAAACAATATCAAGACATGAGGTCCTTTATAAATATCCATGGAATAGATGAAGAAGATGAAGATGAAGAGAAAGAGGGAGGAGCGTCCATATGTAGACCAACTACCATTGGGCATAAGAGACCTCGAAGAAGGGGCTCTATATATACTTTCTTCCTGCCTCCCGATCTCGAGGTGGTGGTTCGTGAAAAGGAGCTGGTACAGAGTAGTCTAGAGGGTGAAGAAGTGAGATAGAGAAAAGGTGAATTAGTATGTGGCTCGATGGTACTTTCAAGCAGGTCTATAATTTAATACTACCACTTTGAGGAGTTTTCATGCTATGTTAGAGCCAGTGGCGCAATTTGGCCTAGGATATAGGGGCCCTACACCTTATGAGCTCAAGTGGTCTCTGTTGAAGAAAGGGGTGGAATTAACAAATTACTACCTGAAGAACCATAGCAATACTTGGGGCAGATGTGGGGTGATTATTATGACAGATTTGTGGACCGAAAGGAGGTCTAGGAGTATTATTATTATGAATTTATTAGTTAATTGCCCCATGGGAACTATTTTTTTGAAGTCCACGCATTCGATAAGATTCATGGTGCCTGTTTCATATATAGTGTTGTGGATTAGAGAATTGCAGAGGTGGGGAAGGCACATGTTGTGGAAGTGATCACAGATATGGCTCAGGCCAATCTGGCAGCTGGTAGATTGTTGGAGATTTCGAGGCCGCACATTTTTTGAACGACTTGTGTGGCTCATTGTATAGATCTCATGCTTGGAAAAAAAAAAAATGATAATGTTAACTTCGTCTTGCTGTAAGAGAGAAATATATATTGTCGTTACCTCATGCTTGAAAAAATTGCCACAATGAAAGCAATGCATGAGATATTTGAAAAGGCCAAAGCTACAACAATTTTTACTTATAGCCATGCCCATGTTTTGGTGATGATAAGGAAGTTTACAGATGTGAGTGACTTGGTGAGGCCAGGGGCTACCAGGTTTGCCACTTCATTCTTGTCTTTGGATTCTTTGAATAAGCTAAGAGACAAGCTTTGAACAATGTTTGAAGAATGGAGGGGGAGCAAGTGGTCCATGGACGCAAAGGGGAAAAAGGTTTGTGACGTTGTTATGACACCCAAGTTTTGGAATGGAGTTCAGTTTTGCCTCCATATTTTTTAGCCATTTGTGAAAGTTCTTCGCCTTGTTGATAGTGAAAAGGAACCAACAATGGGGCATATTTCCAAAGCAATAGAAGTTGTGAGAGAAGAAATCAAGCGGAACTGAAAACAAGACGAAAAAAATATGGCCCCATCTTAAAAATTGTAGATGACAAGTAGGATATGCAGCTGAAGAGACCCTAACACCTAGCAGGGTAATTTTCTCAACCCTGCATATTTCTATTTTGATCCTGATATAGAGAGAAGGGACTCTATCATGGAAGCATTTAACAAGTGCAATGTGAGGCTCCACCCCAACTCAGATGTCCAAGACAAAGTATTTATAGAACTTATATCGTTACTATATGGGGAGTAGGGACACTTGGGACAGACATCGCAATAAGGCCATGTAAGTTGAAGATGTATTTGTCATTTAAATTTAGCTTTGACTCTACTTTTCTAAATTCAAATCTTACTCAGATATATGTGTACTCATACTTACTTTTATCAATTAATGTATTATAGCCTTTTGGTGGGCCAACCATGGTCAAATTGCCCCCAACTTGCAAAGGATGACACATCAGATTTTGAACTTGACTTGTACATCGTCCGGCTGTGAGCACAACTTGAGCACACTCGAGATGGTGAATATTCTATGTACCCTCATCTCCTATCAATTTACTACAAGAACTTTCTCGATACTTTTTTTTTAAGTAAAGAATTGTAATAGGGAAATGATGTACTATGAAAGAAGTACACATAAAGAAGAGAAATAGACTCTAGCAAAAAAGACTAAATGACCTAGTTTTCGTTCAGTACAATCAAAGGTTGAAGGAGCACCATCTAGAGTGGTTTCAAATTAAACACCCCATACTTATGAAGGATTTAGATCCAACAAGCGAATAGTTGGTCGAGCCGATGCCAGGGATGAGCCTGTATTCGAGGAAGAGAGCTTGACACAGACCCAAGTGCAAGAGGCGGCTAGTTTGACATCGAGCCCTATGGGAGCCACTGGATCCCAAAGATAGAGAAAGGGAAAGGAAGTGGCCCAGGAAAAGGAAAAAGGGGAAGGAGAAGAAAGGTGCACATGAAGAGGAGGAGGACGCTCTTGGAGAAGGATGAGGATGCAAACTCAAAGCAGGCAAGGGAATAAGGTTTTTATGTGGAGGAGGGTGACTCTGACGTCGGCTTCATGTTGCTAGTGATGATGAAACTCAACATCATAATTGAGTTCATCATATTTCTAAGGTGAAGAAGCTTACTTTTTGTAATTTATGGCCTTTGATGGTCGGATGTGACTTCTTTTTATGATTTATGAGTATCTATTGTGACTTTGCGAGATTTAATGGACATCTCGAGTTGCTTTTATCTTTTTATGTTGCTTTTGAGTTTAGACTATTTCATTTACAGTCTAAAGTCGTGTATGTTTATGTTTGATATGTACTACTAACTTCTGAACAATATATATATAGGGAGTCACTGCTATACGCCCATACGTGAATGTGCCAGATTGAATCTGGCCCATTCTGTGGTCGATCTGACGCTCACGGATGTCCAATAGTGTTTGAATTTTACTTTTTTTTTCTACAAATTCAAATCACTTGAAATTTTAGGCGTGTGTTCTTCTCATCAAGGCGCACCTAATAAAAATATTAAAAAAAATAATTTGTAAAAACAAATTGACAAAAATAGCCCTCCAAACTTTTCGGAAGTATTTTGGTCAATTTATTTCATGTAATTTTCTTTTTTTTGATATTTTTCGTAGATACCTATTTTTGAAGAACACATGCCTAAAATTTTAAGTGATTTGGATTTGTAAAAAAAAAATCAAAATTCAAATACTTTCGGACATGCGTGAACGTCACATCAACCAAGATTCAATCTGGGCCATGGGCATTTACTATAGCAGTACGCTTGGGCGCACAGCATATTTTCCCATATATATTACCAGAATTTTCTGGCTTGTTGTCATTATTAACCTCTTCTCGGCACCCCCTGCAAAAATTCACGAGTCAAAAAATCAGGGAGAGTTAGCAGAACCACGGAGATGCGCAATGTAAAAATCTAAGGAGGAAAGAATGGCTTGCTAACGGGTAAAAATTTGTTTAGAAACGAGGTTTTGAACATCTTTGAGTAAAATATCGCAGGCTGCTTTACAATCTGTGCGAATTAAGAAAGTTGTATTAAGAACATCGCTTTGAAATTTCGTAACACAATGAACTATTGCAAGTATTTCTTTTTTTACCGTAGAATAGTTTTGCTGAGTACTATTCCAGGCTTTTAAGTGAAGCGAACTAGTTGTTCTTTATCATTACCAAGCTTTTGTTTGAGGATACCTCCGAGGCCTAGTTCAGAAGCGTCACATTCTATTATTTTAAAAGCAGTTGGATCTGATAATGCTAAGCATGGTAATTCTTTTGCCTTGCTTTTTAAGCGTTGGACGGCTAAAGTATGTTCATCCGTCCATTTGGGTGGATTTTTCTTTAACCGTTCATATAAAGGTTTAGCATCAATAGCTAAATCTTTATAAAAATCAGCTATGTAGTTTAAACACTCTAAGAATCTTTGTAATTCAGTCTTATTTAATATGATATCAAGAAATTTATCTGCAAATTGTATTGCTCTATCAATTGGTATAATAGTTCCCTAAAATATATTTTGTCCAAGAAATCTTATACTAGTTTGGCAAAGGCTAATTTTCTTGGCAGAAACAACCAAACCTGCATTCTTTACCGCATTAAGGAAAGTGTTGATGTGTTTAAAATGCTGCTGAATGCTTTCTGAGAAAATCAGAACATCATCAATATATACAATCATAAATTTGATATATGGATTAAAAACATCATTCATTATTTTCTGAAATTCAGAAAGGGCATTCTTTAGTCCAAAAGGCATGACATTCCACTCATATTGCCCAAAAGGGACATTAAAAGTTGTTTTATATCTATCATTTTCATTTATTTGTATCTGCCAGTATCCTGATTTTAAATCAAACTTTGAAAAGATACAAGCATTTAATAATCTATTAAGTAGATCTTTTTTATTTGGTATTGGATAGCGAATCCATTTTAATACTTTATTTAGAGGCTTATAGTTGATTACTAGTCGTGGTACTCTTCTTTCTTTTTCTGCGTTCTTTTCTACATAAAAGGCTGCACAACTCCAAGGAGACGAACTTTCACGGATTAATTTCTTTTTGAGGAGTTCATCTATTTCTTTTTTACATATTTCTAATAATCTTAAATTCATTTGTATTGGTCTTGCTTTTGTCGGTATTTTATTTTCTGTAAATCCTTCTTCATATGGAAGGATTATTATATGTTTTTTTCTATTCTAGAAAGCATTAGGTAATTCGCTACACACTTCTTGTTCTATTTGTTTCTTAATTTGGTCAATTTTTTCTTTTATTTCAGGAAGTGCCAAGTTATCTTCTATAGTTTTATATTTTATTTCTGCTTTTAATTGGCATAGAAATTTTTGTTTATTTTCAATTGATTGTTTCATACTATGAATTTCTTTAAGTTTTGGCTTATTTATAAAATTAAATTTGACCTAGTGGCCATTTATTTCAGTTTCTATCCCTGTATTATCTATTTTTAAGGGATACAATAGATTTAAAAATGGGGTACCTAATATTACTGCCTGACTTAAACCTTTTACCATTATAAAAGGTGTTTGGAAGCAATCACCATTATTACATACAGCTACATTAGACAATTTATAATTTATTATAAGTTTACTTCCATCTGCAGTATTTAGAATTTGGGTGGTTTTATCAAAGTATTTTGTAGGTACTAAGCCTTCATTTATACAATTTAAATCAGCTCCAGAGTCCATTAATGTTAAAGATTGAGAACTATATTCTTCTTGTACTACTATTCGGATTAAGGTGTACCATTTTTTATTTATTACTTTATCAATAATATTTAGATGGTCTTCTTGTATTTCAGGTTTTGTACCAGAGGATTCAGGTTTTTCTCCTAATGAAATTTCTTGGTTAGAATTTATTAAATCATCAAATTCTATTTCTTCATTTGATTCAAATTCAGAAAAATCTGTTGCCATTTCTAATATACGAATCCTATTTTTTAATTGTTGAACTTCAATCTTTACTTCATTTATTTTCTTCTTTAGTAAGCACATTACAGAAACATTTTTGTAAGCACATTACAGAAAAATTAAATTTTCTTCTTTAGTAAGCACATTACAGAAACATTTTTGTATTTCATCAACTGAATCTTTTTTTGAATCAGAACTGCTCCATACTAGATTTTCATACTCAATTCGTCCTGTTAACGAATCATAATCAGTGTTTGAGGATTCACTATCTGATGCATCTTTTATTTGAATAATATTGTAGAGCTAGGTTTTTATTTCTTTATAGATTGTAAGTGCATTGATTTTCTTTTTTATTTTGCAATTATTTTTATAATGGCCTATTTTGCCACATTTATAACAGACTGGTAATTTTCGTTTTCCTGATTAAAATTTGTCTTTGGGCACAAATTTCTTTGTAAACTTATAACTTTGTTTTTCTCTTTTTATTGTTTTATTTTTCTTATGTATATGTTTTCTCTTGAATTCTTTATTAGAAGAGGGGCTTATATTATATCCAAATTGCTCACAAAAATCACCTAATTCCTTCTTTCCAGTCATTTTCTGTTTATCCAATTGTTTTTTAAGTTTTAAGTCTGTACATAATGCTAAGCCTTCTGCACAGATTTCTGCAGAAAGTTCTCCTAGAGTATATTGAGAGTATGGAATGATTCCATTATTCTTATTTTTTAGTCTATTCTTAACCTTTTCAGCAAAAAGGTAAGGCAGACCTGCTATAAATTTTTCCTTCCAATGGTCTACACTGTTGTCTTCTCTTAATAAGAGTCCTGAGAAGAAGACATCCTTATACCATTTATAATGAGAAAGAGTGGGGCATCTTAGATTTGAGAGTAGATCTTCAGATCTAGCCTCTAATAAGGATGTACTTCCTACGAAATGAAGTGTTATAATATATACTAATGTATTCACAGCATCACTTTCGCTGTGAGGTATATCTTGGTTATGTTCATTTTTTACTACCCATTGGCGGGTAGCATGAAGAATTTGGGTTTTGGTGGTTTCATTCATGTGAAAATCCCACCATCCTCTCAACCAACCTGTAAAGTCACAAATAATGGCTTTGGCAACATCTTGATCATGACTACCAGATACTTTGCATGTTGTAGCATACATAGTCATATGTCGCATTGTATCTAATATTTGATGATCCGACATTCCATCAATATTCCAGTTGACAATGGTTCTTCCAGAATAAGATACTATATATATACAGACACACACATATATTAATACATATATGCAAAACTTACTTATTAAATAAAAAAATGCCAATTCTATATACAATAGAAGGGGGGAGGTGTGGGGATCCATCAAACTGCAAGGACCGCCCCTCCACCCGATGTAGGCCGCCTTTGTATCTGGGCACCCGTCTAGGCAGCCGCATCCGCCTTCTTAAACATTGGATGTTACACAACTAATTAAATAAATAAATAATATAAAGGTCTCCAAAACATTGGCACCAAGTGTCAAGAGAAATAATTCACATCAGAATCCAGCTTCCAAATGTAGGAAACTAAACCCAATTGCTTTAGGGAGAATGACCATTAAAATGGGAAAAGAAAGAGGACTTCCTAATTTTCGAAAAACAAGAACCAAGATTAAGTATTTCAACCAAAGGTTCCAATAGAAACATGTATGACTGCCTTAAACCATGATATGATGTCATGCACAGATACAATGGGATGTCCAAAGAAAGGTGTAAAATTACAACTTACAAGGATGAACAATAATGTCAGACCAACCATCCTACCATGAACTCAAATCAAGAACCAGATTATATTTATGTTTGGAACATAAAAAATGAAAAATTGCAAGAGGCACAGATTCCAAGCATATTATGTCAACATAGGAATTTCCTTGATAAGGTTGATTGCATATAAAACCATCATAGATGCATACAAATGAGGAAAAAGACAACAAATTTTCCATACTTTTGTTGCAAATGAGGCACGTCCAATGACTACAGCATCAAACTTGTCCAAAATTTCTCCATCCAAAGCTGACAAATCCCCTAACAAAATGGTTCAAATATATTATAATCTTATTTTCTTGTTAATACAAGCCCCATAGTAGTGGAAGATAAAAGCCTAAATTATAAATTTGAAAGCGTAAATTATTGAAAATTATAAAAGTGAAAAGGCACATTTGAATTGCATCTCTCTCTCTCTC